TTATTGATTCTTCTAATTATTCCTTAGTTAGGACTACTCTTTCATCCTATCACCACCCTACTCCAGTCTCTTATCATCTGACCTATTTACTGGCCTAAACCTAATCCAGCTCCTCTCAGATTCATTCTGTACACACTGCTGCTGGAGAGATGCTTCTTCACAGCAAATACCAGGATCCTCTACTTAAATTTCATGAATGAATTCCAGTTTTAAGATGGAGTAGAGATCTTCTGGAACTCTATTCCAGAAAGAAACAGGAATTCAGATTTCATCTTTTATTAAATTAGAAATAAATAGAACTTGAAATGGAGGAAAACAAAAAACAAGGGATGAAGAGAGAAAGTTGATAGAAAAATGCTACAAAACCCAGCAGAGCAGGGGAAGTCAGACATGAGTGCCTGCAAAGAAAGAATTTCACGAGAAGCAAGCAAAAACTGCCTACATAGAACCCTAGAAAGCTTCACGTTCCAGGTACTATAGGAAGTAGAGATGAGATGATGTTAGAAGTGTTTTCACAGGGCTGTGGGATGATATGAAAAGATTTGGTCAGAGAGTCAAAAAAGCTAAGCTAAACAAGCAATGTAATTATCATCAGAAGAAATAAAAATTTATACAAGAAAAAAATATAATCACAGTCCATTGCTTGACTCAGCATAAAATAATAATCAAAATTATAAATAGAAATGTAAGAAAAATACAAAATTCCATCTTGGAGTTGGGCACTTCCAACAGGCAAGAAGGATGAGCAAAACACTTGTTGGTTCAGCTGTTATAATTATAAGCCACTATTTTCGTGTTTTAGGCACTTCATATGTGTTAGTCCACTAGACCCTCATAACAAACCCTTGGGGTAAGTATGATTAATTATCATTTACAGATAAGCAAGCTGAACTGCGGAAGTGTTAAGTAACATAGGAGGAGGTGAAGGAGCCAAGATTCTAACTCCATCGTCCGGCCGCAGAGGCTGCACAAGGCACAGTTTAAGAACTTAGCCAGCAGCGTCTGCCACAGCAGGCTGCCTCTAAAATCATAACACGTGAAAGTTCTAAGTGATGCTTGTCTCCCTTGGAAGTGCAAATGTGACATTTCCCCCTGGCTGCAGTCATGGTGTGGGTGAAAAGAGCAGAGGAGCATCCAAGAGTGACAAGAATTGCTTCCTGTCATCATCAAGGCTGTATCAGCTCAAGCTGTGATCAGGGTAAGGGCTGGGACCGGGAGAGTCACTTCACTGACAGGGGCTAGGGACAAATGGTCAGCTGTCCATCATGCTATAACAGGAATCAGAAAGTCTCGGTAAGTCAGTAGCAAGCGATTGAAGGGTCCAGTTACAAGCAGGCAAGATTAGAATAAAATAAAGGCTCTAAGCTAGAGGAAGGTTTTAGGGGCCATTTCCACTATCCCTTTCATTTTCAAAAGAGAAGAAAAAGAAGCTAAATAAGGTAGAGTAGTTTATCCAAGATCACCCACCTAGTTTAGACAGAATGTGAGGATTTTTCTCCAGATGGACAGCAAGTAATAACTTGGAGGCATGTCTTCAATGTGGCCTTCTTTGTCTGACTCTTGCAAAAAGCATCCCTTTTAGCAATTCATACATTCTTCTATTATAATATTGAATTTACTCACTAATGCAAGGTCTCTCTCATTAGTTTTGGAAGGGCACAATAGCCAGACCACTACCAACATCAGATGTGAATCTTGACATCTCCACTTGCTAGCTGAGTGGATCACGATGAATTACCTCACCTCTCCAATACCCACTCTCTTCTTCTGTAAAGTGGGAAGTCCAATAGTTCCAACCTCACAGTTTTGTTGGGACAATTCGTTTTAAACACACATAATGCTGCATGCCAGGCAGATGCAGGGGTTGGCAAGTAGCAGCAACTATTCACTTCATATCTTCCCACTGCCTATTCTCATGTTTGCAAAATCAATTTTTCAATCAACAGTGAGAATTCCAAGACAACATCATAACAGGGAGCAGGTGGCAGAGTGTTACCGAGACATGAAGATGTGAGGAAGAGAAAGGCACAAGAAAGGTATCAGTCCAAAAGGGTAGTAAGAGCATATGAAATAAAGATGTGGGATGAATATATGAAGAAGAAGATCCTTCACTATTAACTGATTCTCCCAAACCTGATTTGAGTTGCTTACGATTTAAATAAGATAGGTTCCATTTTCACTGACTTCCTTAGATAGACCTAAAGAATTTAAAACAAATTGCTTTAGGCCATATAGTTGGTAAGTGGCAGAGCCGTGACTAAACACCAAGTTCAAACAACTCCAAAAACATGTCCTACACACCTCCAAATCACTGTGAGGGTTAAGGAGGCCGATACATGCACAGTTCTTGGCACAATGGCTGGTACAGGAGTGGTAGCCGATTTCTTTGTTAGTTTCATCATTATGACATTTCAACAGATCCCTCTTGTACTAGTCCCAGAAGAGAAAGACTATGACATTATTGCTCCTAAGGAAGAGGTGAAGTGCTCTCACCCACGATGTGCATCAAAGCCAGAATTAAGAAGCAACTGAGAGGTACGCAGCCCCCTGAGAAGCAGCACTTGACACAGGCTGCTGTAATAGGTGTCCACCTATCGGAGCGCTACTGCCCAGCACTCAGCTCAGATGGATCAAGAGGCTGCCAGACGAGAGGTAGGCAGGGTGGCACAGACTCAACCATCACCCTAACCGTATTTTTCACCCTTCGTTACTGACATGGTCAAAAAGGAAAAGAGGCAATAGCAATGGCAGCAGCACAACAATGAAAGCAACCAAGAGAGAAAGCAGCTGGCACTGGAGGGCCTGGTGCCTGGTCCCAGGCACAGAGGGATTCTGGCAGTGATTACCACAGTAAATCGAGCCCATGGTTGCGCCAGGGCCCTGGGCCCTGCCAGGAAGGGAGCAGGGGAGATGGGATTCTTATAATTACACTGGTTTAGACTCAGCCATCATGGGGTTACCCACAGACAACTCTGATCCATCCCCAGGCTGGGAGCTGCAGAAGCACCTGTTAGAGCAGAAGTCATTTGGCAAAAGCCAAAGAAAATGCGGATACATCCAGGCCACCTGTAAAGGAATTTAATACCTAACAACCCATGTAAAGCCCTAACTGTCATAATTAATTTGGCACCTATTCACTGGTAGGTGCTAAACAAGTACCATATGGCAAAAGCCCATTTCCTGCTAACGTGGTTTAATCCCCCCTATAATTAAAGCTGTGAGACATTGTGTCATTTGAAAAACCCCAGCACCATATTTTTCTCACAAAACTGCTTTTAGTGTCTCTTCTGTTGGCCCTCTCTCTCCACTATTGTTATGAACATCTAACTTTCTTCAGCTTCTCCAGCTACTGCTTCCCCTTTGCATAATTTCGGTTATAATTATTTTCTCATTTTCCCCTCCAGCTGGCAATTCGTTTGGTCTCTCCCATTTCGTAGACCTTTAAGATGTCACACTGTTGCTCCAGCTTATTTAGAAATCCTGGAAAGAGGGGAAGTGTAGATTGCAGGGCAGCCTCAGCTCCCAGAAAACGTTATCTGCTTTCTCATGCGTCCCAGCTGACAGGATGCCAGGCCAGCAAGCTAACAACCAACAGCTGAGCGCCATGGCAAAGAACTAAATAAAGACAATCATCTGGCTTCTGCTACTTTAAAAACAAAAAGCAAGCGATAGCTTACTGGAGAAGAAACAAGATAAAAACTTGTAATAATGATATGTCCCACATATCAAGGTCCCGTTGTAGTTCCACATTGCACAGTTATTAATATCAGAGGCCACCTCCACTGATTCAGACTTAAACTAGACACTTTGGACACAAAGGAATTTCTCATTCTGTTTCTATATCTGTCACCCCTAAAAGATACAGTGATCCAAAGTGCGTCACTAAAAGATGGGGGGGAAGTGGCAACTAAAACTTTGCAATACAATAATGGACCTTTTTTAACCTAAAAATGTGAAAATGCATCAATTTTCATACTTTCTCCTTTAAATTTTTTGTTTGATCCCCAATATATTATCAGTATGATCCAATGACATGAATGTTAACCAACATCAGCAGTCTGTATTCTGTAAGGAATTTAGCTCACACAATGAATCATCTCAAGTATTTTTTACACGCAAAATTACAATTAATAAATGTTAATCTTTAAAATGCACTTGAGAATGATTGTCCCAAAGGTTAAGTAGAAGCTTTTTCAAAAAACAGATCACAAGAACTGTGCCAACCCTTTCCTAAAAATTTCTATAAAATTCAAAGGAAGAAATAAATAGGAAATCTACTTTACAAATGAAATTTAATATAGTAGTCGTACATTTATAGACCAAGAGCTTATATGCAAAATGTCTCCATGAACACAGTGGTCAGATATCGAGATGCTGACGACTGCTCATCTGCCAATGTTGAACTTGGTAATTCCTCATTTATACAGAGTGAAATTAAGTACCAAAGGGCCAGAATAATTTACTTATTGTGGAAAAAAGTTAAGGACAAACTAAACTTAGTCCAGATAATTCTCAGATCCTCACACACATAAAACAACTTTTATTTATTTATTTTTTATTATTTATTTATTTATTTATTTGAGACGGAGTCTCCCTCTGTCATGCAGGGGCACAATCTCGGCTCACTGCAACCTCCACATCCCAGGTTCAAGTGATTCTTATGGCTCAGCCTCCCTAATAGCTGGGACTACAGGCAAGCACCACCAAGCCCAGCTAATTTTAGTATTTTTAGTAGAGACGGGGTTTTGCCATGTTGGCCAGGCTGGTCTTGAACTCCTGAACTCAAGCAATCTGCCCACCTCTGTCTCCCAAAGTGCTGGAATTACAAGCATGATCCACCTTGCTGGCCCTTGCATTTATTTTAAAAAGAGAAAGACCATGTCTCTTCTACTCTCCTGTGTCTTCAAGAACAGATTTTTATAGTTTACTAAACATTAAAATTACATAGCTTGTTATACATTAATTTGTATTTTGCAGACAATAACCATTATAAATATCACTTAGATCTGCAACTATTTTTTATTAATTTTATTGTTTGCATTTAAAAGACGGCACTTTTGGGGTATAGATAGTCGAATTCAACAGTAAGAACTATTTTAACTCCTAAAACTGAACAACTGTATTAGTTATGAACACTAGATACAAGTCATGAAACTCCAACTTGAATTTGCTTAGGCAAAAAGAGATTTTATGAGAAGGATATCAGAATATCTGATGTATATACCCAAGAGCAGGGCCTGGGGTCTTATACAGCTTGACCCCAGGAACAAGGAAGTACCCCCCCTTCCTTTTTTTGTACTTTTAGTGGTTCTGTTTCAATCATCTCCCTTAGGGTGTGGGCTTTCTCACATGGTGACCACCAGCAGCTTCCAAGACCCTTACCCACAGCTTCTACCGGCAGAAATACTTATCTGCTGTTTCAGTGCCCATTCAAAAAATCCTAAGGACAAACGCATCTGCTGCCTTGAGCTGCATGGCTATATCCAGGACGGTGGAGTACCCCTAATGACAGACCACCTAAAGGGCATGGCTGGAATCCAAGTAGAAATAATTCACAAAAAGGAGGGCAGGCTGCTGGACAGACAAACCAAGAATAATCAAGTTAAACAAAACAAGCACGAACTCTGAAAGCTCAGGCAATGCCAGAAGCGTCAGGTCACACAAGGTAGAATACCAGAAGTTGGCCTTTATTCTTTGAGGGAGAGATTTACATTTATATTTCACTTCTATGTCCCAGTCAAAACAACAAATAAGTAACTTTAAAACTTGGTAATACATCATTTTTCTCTCCCCTTTCTTAGATGTTTTTGCATCACCTTCCCCTGTCATCTAAGTTTTGGGTCTACAACTTGCCCCTCAAAACTTATGAAAAGCATAATGTGTTCATCAGAATTGTTTCAGGGTTGATGTGTTAGTTTTAGGGTTCATATCTTCATGTGTGCCTTTCTTTATTCTGAATTCGCAGCATTATCTTTTGGGCTTTGAGAGTCTGATGTAAATCCCAGTTCACACTCCTTCTTTAATTGCTGCACCTTCATGTTTAGGTCCAGTAAAGTTCTAGCCAGCTGGTGGTTTTGGAAATGCATTTCCACCTAAAAGTTAGAAAAAAAATAAAAATTTTTATTAGCCTGAGATACAGATAAAATGAAACCACTCTCTGACTACATAGAAGAAATAAGAAGTTTGTAGGAAAAGAAAATAAGATATCAAGAAAGACGTATTTCTCATCTTATTCTCCAGTTCTGTTTAGTCTGGCTATAAAACTGACTTTCTATATGACAAGGTAAAATCCAGATGTATAAATAGCTTTTGAAATGGCCTTGAAATGAAAACAAAAATAGCTGATGCACAAAGCTGTCCATATGAAAAATACCTATGCACCAAAGGCTGTTTTCAAGCAATGGCATGTGATCCACAATGAAATCATTTATCTTTATGAGCCTTCTGAGCCACAGGATAACTGCCTACAGCCACCAGAGTGTTCAGAATCTGTGCGTATTTACTTGATTACTTATCATTTCAAGTTTTCAGGATTGTAAATGGTCTACCTGCTGAGCAAAAACACTTAACGACACCTTAGAAGCACATGTATAGTTATGTATACTTATATAATCTAACGTTTTTCACTCTGGCGTGCAGTCTGTTGGACAGCAAGGCTGACTTATACCATCCTCCACTGGGAGTTTATGAAGGTCCTCATGTGTTTACAAAAAAGATCTCTGGGGCTTGTTACCTGGGGGCAGTCCAGCAAAGCTTAGTCCAATATAATCTTTATGTTATGACTGAAAATTATGATCAACTACTTGCAAATTTTTTCAGCTAGGGCTTGTTTAATGCAGTTCATGAGGAATTTGTTCTCTCTGCTGAAAAAAAGCTTCATCAACTTGTCAATAGAAACCACTCCATTCTTCAGCACCTTGAATCATTTTTCTGACAGCAAGAATTAGCAAAGAATAAAGTAAGTGAATATCCAGCAAGCAAGCAGTAACAGTAACCACACAACCACCACCACAAAAACAAACAAAAAAACTTGCACCTTGCCTACAGGAAGCTTCAGCTCTCTAGGGTGGCCCAGATGCTCTTATAGTCCTGCCCTACTTTTTCAGCTTCCTTTCCTGGCCATCTTTCCCGTGCCAGCTCCCTCTGCAGCTTGTCAGAAACCTTGCTGGTCCCTGAATAAATGCTGAGCTGAAGCACACCTCCTTCTGTCCCCATTTCTGTTTAAGATGCCCTTTGCCACCTCTTCTGCTGAACCCAGTCAAATGCTGACTCTTCTGAGAAGCCTTCCCTGATTGCACCCAGTCACATGCCAACTCTTCTGAGATAATTGCCTCTCATCTGTGAATCCACAGCCCTCTGTACAAGTGCCTCTCATACATACTGACCAGACTAGACTGATGATTTTGAGAGCAGAGGCTGTATTTTATTCATAATTGTATCCCCAACTAAGAGTGCACTGCCTGGGCACACAACATAGTAGGTTCTCTGTGTGTTTAAGACTGAGTGAAGTAATTAATTAATTAATTGATGAACATCCATTGTGTACTTTCATGCAAGAATCAAGGAGAAAAATTATTGGTAATGATTTACCATCTAAGTAAAATAAGTATGTGTAATTCACACTTATTTAGGAACTTCAAACATCAATGGTTATTTAACTTTTCTTTCATCATGGATCCCTTTGAGAATCCAATGAAAGTTATGGACCCTCTCTGAGGAAAAACTATACTTTATGCACATCAAAAATGTTGCATACAATTTTAGGTATATAAAACCCCTGAACTCCACTCACAGACCCTAGAAATCAATGATTCTCACTAAGAAGACCAAGTCAAACAACAGCAAGTAGCATAAATAACAACACAACTCTAAATTCATTAAATTTTTTCATCATTCCTTAAAATACCATCCTAATATATGATACATGTACATTTTTATAGGAATGTATGTCCGTTTCTATAAAAATCCAGCCAAGAATTGAAAACTAAGTCTTCTAGTGGTAATGATATTAAGCTACAGTGTCCACACTCTTTTGCTTCTTTCTTATGACCAAGACAAGATGATTGATCAAGATCTTGACCATCATCTGTAACCCAGGGACACATCATTTGTGTATGTGTAAACTTCTCTGGTTCCCTTCCAGAAAAACTGCTGATTTTTTTTTTTTATAAGAATGCATCTGTTCCTTTTTGGTACAGTCAAGAGTCCAAGGTCTGTAATAATCATTATTATAATAATAAGAGGCACTAAACAATATCCATGGTCTAAGCATTTCATAGAATATTATCTCACGTAAGCTCTTGAATACTATGAGATTATGAATTCCATTTTACAGATGAGTAAACAAACTCAAACTGGCTAAGTAACAATCCCAAAGTTGTAGGGCAAGCAAGTGTTAGCTGAACTCGATGGCTGCCTCAGGTTTCAGCCTTGCAGTTTGGTATTCTGGCCCACAGTACAGGCCTCCAGGGGAGAATCAGGTGGCTCCCACTACTCTACTGCTCAGACTTACTGCTTAGACTCAGGGTGAAAACCAAGTGTTTCTTCAATGTTGTTTCGCTCTTGTTGCCCAGGCTGGAGTGCAATGGCGCCATCACGGCTCACTGCAGCCTCCGCCTCCTGGGTTCAAGCCATTCTCCTGCCTCAGCCTCCCAAGTAGCTAGAATTACAGGCGCCTATCACCACACCCGGCTAATTTTTTTCTTTTTCTTTTTTATTCTTTTTACGGAGTTTTGCTCTTGTTGCCCAGGCTGGAGTGTAATGGCACGATCTCGGCTCACTGCAACCTCTGCCTCCCGAGTTCAAGCGATTCTCCTGCCTCAACCTCCCGAGTAGCTGGGATTACAGGCGCCAGCCACCATGCCTGCCTCATTTTTGTATTTTTAGTAGAGACAGGCTTTCACCATGTTAGTCAGGCTGGTCTTGAACTCCTAGCCTCAGGTGATCCGCCTGCCCCCGCCTCCCAAAGTGCTGGGATTATAGGTGTGAGTCACAGCGCCCGGCCTAATACTGTCCTTAAACTCAGAAATGCGATAACGTTCTTAAATAAGGCAATTTATTGATGGTTGGCTCAGTTCTACGGTAGTGGTTGTGTTAGTAATCAGTGCAAAAGAAAAGAATTTTCCAAGTCAAGTCTTCAGTGCACGATTTCCTAGGCAGCACCATTTTAAAATTTGAATCTCTCCTATTCATTATGTCCTTTTCAAATTGTGTCTAACTTCCAATTTTTTTATTTAAAAAAAAATCAGTCAGCTAAAGTATTTACCTATACACCCTCCTGTTTAATATTCAGACCTAACCTGTCTAATGTTCGAAACGCTGCAATTTTACAAAATACCTTATAATTTCCGGTTTTCTGAATTATTACCCACGGGAAAGATAAGAATAAAACTTGCGGAGTTTGAAGAAAGAGTTGCTGATACACTCCATCAATCCCGAGAGGGAGTTTATTTCATGGAAATTTCCTCTTCCATGAGCCATACTTACGCATAGTCATAGTTTCCCACAGGGCAGAAAACTATAGAAACGGGTTGGGGAGGAGACATCTTGGATCTGTCCCTGGTAGACTAGGGTCCCCCCCACCCCCATGGGTCCTGCAGGGCCCCTTTCCTTCCCTACGGTGCTGGAAAGGCGGGGGCGTCAATGCAGTGACCAGACGTGAGCTGGGCTCCCCGGGAAGAACAGCCGCCGTGGCGGGCGCTCCCGCTCTGGGAACAGCTCCCGTCGGCCTCCCCAAGGCCTTGGGTGGGCTACGCGGCCAGTGGCTCCGCGGCCGGAGGAGAGGACCCGGGAGAGGGCGCCCTGGGAGCCGTCCGCCCAGCCCGCGCTCTCACCAGCTCCGCCCGCAGCCCTGCCAGGGCGACCTCCACGCGCTCCCGGCTCTGCTCCTCCAGCGCCGCCGCCGCCTCCTGCGCGCGCCTCGAGGCCCTGCGCTGCATCGCCCACTGGAAGGCGCGCGTCAGCCGTCGTCTGAGGTCCTCCAGCAGCGGGCTGGTCTCCTGGACGTCCGTGCTCCTGCGGTCCCCGGGAAAGCCGCTCGCGGGACGAGGTGAGAACCAAAGCTCCCCTCTACCTGGGAGTCCCTGGAACCCCCGGGAAATTCTCCTTCTGCTGCGATCAAAGTCCCCCGGGTCCATAGCGGAGATGCCTGGTCCCTCCTCCAGCGCTGCTGCTGAAAGATGAGTTTTCAAGTTTGATGTTTAGGCCGGGTCAGGGCTGGGGCGGAGGTAATTCAAGGACCCTTGCCAAGTGGGACGCTGCAACTGCTCCGCCATTCAGAGACGCTCCTTTGCTCCCAGTCCCATCTGAGTCCTCCATTAGCGACCGAGAAAGGAGGCGGTTCCCATAACTCCAGCAGAAGTTTCAGCTGAGTCTCCTTTTTTCTGCTGCTTGCATTGAAAGGAAGGCTTGGGAACTAAGCAGTCTCAGTAAGTGGAAGCTGAGGTACAGGTGGAAGGTTTGTGACCAAAGGTAGAATATTTCAACCCAAAGTCTTCCTGGCTGGTTGCCTCGATTGCCTAATACTTCATTCCTTGAAAACAAATTTTTTTCTTCCTATTTTCTGCCAGGCACTGTGCCAGGTTTGGGATATACAAAGACTTAGACCTCTCACCTTTCCCCAGGTATTGCCCTCAGTCAAGGGGGAGAAGCTTGGCCCTGTTTGCCAGTTAGAATGGACTTTGTACAAGTACAGTAAGGCATAGCTGGGACTGGGTCTCCATGCTCCTTTCTGTGCTCGACTCCTGTCTCCTATGTCCACGTTTATGAAGGGGTTTAAATGAAAAGTCAAAATTCCCCTTAGCCCTAAGTGTGTTTAATTCCCAGCTGATAAGGTTCGGATCTGTGTCATTACCAAATTCCAATCGAATTGTAATCACTAGTGCTGGAGCCCGTAGGGTCTGGTGGAGATGATTGCATCGTGGAGGGAGAGTTCTCATGAATGATTTAGCCCCATCCTCACCTGGTACTTTATCGTGAATGAGTTCTTACAAGATCTGGTTGTTTAAAAGTGTGTGGCGCCTCCCTCCTCTCTCTTACACCTGCCCCTGCCACGTAAGACACCTGCTCCCACTTTGCCTTCCACTATGAGTAAAAGCTCCCTGTGGCCTCCCCAGAAGAGGATGCTTCCATGCTTCCTGTATAGCATGCGAAACCATGAGTCAATCAAACCTCTTTTCTTTACAAATTGCCTAGTCTCTGGTATTTCTTTATAGCAGAGGGAGAACAGACTAATACACGAACTCCAGGTAATCATGTGCCAACACTACTTGTATGTCCTTTATCAAAGAGCATATTCTACTGCCTCTCTTTGATCTAATAGGGAATTTCTAAAAAGGAATGAACAATCAAAACTTTTGTATGATCATAGAATGAGGTTACACACACACACACAAAAAAAAAAACAGTTTAGACACAACTCTCACCTTGGAGTTATTCTTTCATTCATTCAAGAGTTACAAGTCATTTGCAATGTTCCAGGGTCCATGGTAAGTCTTGAAGGCAATAACAACTGATTTTTATTCATGCTTAGTATGTACCAGGCAATTTTTATTTATTTAATCTTCACAGAAACCTTGTGAGGTAAGTACTATTACTTTCTGCACTTTACAGTTGAGGAAACTAAGGCAAGAGGTTAAAACGTACACCAAAGATCTCAAAGCTGGAAAGGGATCCACTGGAAATTTGCACCTAGGAAATCTGACTTGTGCACCAAACCACTGGGATATGCCCTGGATATGCTTTATTTCCCAAAGAGGAAGAGAATTTCTCAGTTTATATGTTGCGTGAGTGAGTGAGAGTAAGTGTTTGGATTCACTATGCTCATAAAATTCAGCTCTATCGAAATGGCTTAAGGCTTAACTAGATAAGGAGGAATACAAGTGACTCAGCCTCTGCAGATAATCTGCTAAATTCAGCAGCTTGCCATAGTTTACAACCTAAGCACAGTAAAATACCTTCCATTGTATGTTGCTTCATAAAGATTCCCTAGAAACATCTGAAGATGTGTTCTTTTGATAGAAATTATAAAAATCCATATGGTCTGCCATGCACCAATGGAGTATGAATTTAGGGTTTTTTGTTGGTTGGTTGGTGATAGGTTGATGGGGCTTGAAAACCAGCATTAGTCAATGTACAATATAAACATTTAAAATGAGTTTTTGCTATGATTTTTCACTTCTATTTCCACATCATTTACTTCAACAAGAATTTCAGTTAAGTTTAATTTAACTCAACAGTGAATGGTGCATGTTCAATGTTAAGAATTGTACCACTTGATGGAGATACAAAGATGATTAAGGCACAGTTTTTGTCCCATGGAAACTTAAAACCTGGGGAAAAAAATGTATTGATTCATTCATTTAACAATATTTACTTAATGTCTTATTATATACCAAGCATTATACAAGGTGCTGAAGGTACAATGGCAAACCAAAGAGACAAAATATTTACTTAAACTGGTTTACCACAAATTAATAATTTTCTTCTATAGATTGATTTTTCAGTTGTCATACACCTTGAATTTTACAATTTTTTTTTCTTTCTCTTACATAGGCAAAGCAAATTGAAGAATTGGAGCACTGGGGTGAGTATAACATGCACAGACATTTGAGTTAGGAAATGTATTAATTATTTATTGCTGCATAACAGCAACAATTTTTTAGGTTTAAAAAAATACATTTATTATCTCTGACAATTTCTGTGGGAAAGAATTTGGGAACCACTTAGGTTATGGTCTACAGTTTTCATGCTGTTGTAACCAAATGTCAGGCAAGATCTCCATCCTCTGAAGCCGGATGTGATTGGAGCTGGAGCATCTACCTGCAAGGTGGATCACTTCTATGAATCACTCAAATACCTGGCAATTGGAGCCGCCACTTGGTGGGAGGCCTCAGTTACTCTCCATGTGGACTCTTCCCTACTATTGTGTAAGCTAGACTTCATGATGTAGTGGCTAGACTTCCTTCAAAACAAGAGCAGAGAAATACAGAGAGAAACTCTTTCCATGTGCTCTGAGCCACATTTTTATGATCTAGGTTTGGAAGTCACTTATTATCATTCTGTTCATCAGCATCAAGTCTCCAAGTTGGAGCCATACTCAAGGGGAGGAACCTTAGCTCCACTTTTGAAGTAAGTAGTATCAAAAATTTCCAAATACATTTTTAAACTACCATGGGAAAAATATATGTACATTACATATAAGTAAACAACGATACAAATGACTTCTGACTTCCTGCAGAAAAAAAGTAAAGTCCAGAAAACATTGAGACATTTTTTAAACCAGAGAGAATTAATTAACACAGAATTCTATGTTCAGCAAAAATATTCTTCCAAAAACCAATCTCAAAAAGCATGTTTTTAAAAAGGGAAAATTAGGAGAATTTGTCACTGCTTACCATAGTGTAAGCAGACTTACACTAAAAGAAGTGCTCAAGGAAATTCCTCAGGCTGAAGTAAAATAATACTAGAGGGAAATACAGATCTTCAGGAAGAAATGAGTAACGTAAGAAATAGTAGGTATCTAGGTATAAATAACTTTGATTCCTCTTAATTAAAAAACATATATATTGTTTTATATATATGTTTGTTTTTAAAAAAACATATATTGTTTTATATATATATATTTGTTTTATAATTCAATGGTTAGGAAATACCTATATCGTGTTCACGACAACGTAATACCCATTCAGCACATATTAAGTGATCATCAATTGCCTAGTTAATTAAACTGAATGAAACATTTGATTCCCTCTATTTCCTGATCTTCATCTCTAGCATTTGTTTCACTGCAGTAATTCCTGAAAGTATACTATCACCCAGAATGATACCTTTGAAAGCCTGAATTCTGAAAAATCTATTCTCAGTCCAGAGCCTTTTTTCTATCCACAATTCACTCTGACCCCTCAATTCAAGAGAGATGACTTTCTGAAGTACCCTTGTTTCTCTTTTCCCAGCCGGAATCCTGTGGCAAATTATTTCATCTAAGTCATATCAACACCTTCTAGTGCTCTATGCACTTGGCCTTCTGCCAACCCCACCCAGTTAATTTCAGTCCTATTTATTCAGTGTCTTTACTCCTATTTCTAAATAGTCAATGTGATTCCCAACCTCGACTGTCCTCTCAACGTTACACAACAATCCCCTGATTCATATCTCCCTGACTACCTCAGATCCCTCACAAAGACCGTTCTGGACTCTGACCACCACCTGCCCTCTCTTTGTGCCTCCATTCCCATTACATGGCACAAAAGCTATTTTTTACTTCACTGAGATGATAATTGACAACCGTTAACTCACATGGCACTTAGTATATGCCAGCTACTATTCCAAGTGCTTTACATTCAATTCTCACACCAACCCTATGAGGTAAATGCCAAAATCAACGTTTCACTGATGGAAAAACTAAGGCACAAAGACATTAGGTAATTCCTTGAAGGTTGCAACCCTTAGAAAGTCATGGAGTGAGGGTTTTTAGCATCAAGGGCTGTTGAATTTTGTCAAAGGCCTTCTCTGCATCAATTGAGATAATCATGTGGTTTTTGTCTTTGGTTCTGTTTATGTGGTGAATTATGTTTATAGACTTGCATATGTTGAACCAGCCTTGCATCCCCGGGATAAAGCCGACTTGATCATGGTGGATAAGCTTTTTGATGTGCTGTTGCAATCGGCTTGCCAGTATTTTATTGAAGATTTTTGCATCTGTGTTCATCATGATATTGGCCTGAAGTATTCTTTTCTTGCTAGGTCTCTGCTGGGTTTTGGTATCAGGATGATGTTGGTCTCATAAAATGATTGGGGAAGGATTCCCTCTTTTTGGATTATTTGTAATAGTTTCAGAAGGAACAGTACCAGCTCCTCTTTGTATGTCTGGTAGAATTTGGCTGTGAACCCATCTGGACCTGGGCTTTTTTGGGGTGGTGGGCTCTTCATTGCTGCCTCAACTTCAGACCTTGTTATTGGTCTATTCAGGGTTTCAACTTCTTCCTGGTTTAGGCTTGGGAGGATGCAAGTGTCCAGGAATTTATCCATTTCTTCCAGCTTTACTAGTTTATGTACATAGAGTTGTTTGTAATAATCTCTGATGATGGTTTGAATTTCTGTGGAGATATCCCCTTTATCATTTTTTATTGCATCTATTTGATTATTCTCTCTTTTCTTTTTTATTAATCTGGGTAGTGGTCTATTTTGTTGATCTTTTCGAAAAACCAGCTCCTGGATTTATTGATTTTTTGAAGGGTTTTTTTGTGTCTCTATCTCCTTCAGTTCTGCTGTGATCTTAGTTATTTCTTCTCTTCTGCTAGGTTTTCAGTTTTTTTGATCTTGCTCCTCTAGCTCTTTCAATTTTGATGATAGGGTGTCAATTTTAGATCTCTCCTTGCTTCTCATGTGGGCGCTTATTGCTATATATTTTCCTCTAGAGACTGCTTTAAATGTGTACCAGAGATTCTGGTATGTTGTGTCTTTGTTCTCGTTGGTTTCGAAGAACATCTTTATTTCTGCCTTCATTTCATTGTTTATCCAGTCAACATTCAAGAGCCAGTTGTTCAGCTTCCATGAAGCTGTGCAGTTCTGGGTTAGTTTTTGAATTCTGAGTTCTAACTTGATTGCACTGTGGTCTGAGAGACGATTTGTTATGATTTCCATTCTTTTGCATTTGCTGAGGAGTGATTTACTTCCAATTATGTGGTCAATTTTAGAGTAGGTGCGATGTGCTGAGCAGAATGTATATTCTGTGGATTTAGGGTGGAGAGTTCTGTAAATATATATTAGGTTTCCTTGATCCGGGTCTGAGTTCAAGTCCTGGATATCCTTGTTAATTTTCTGTCTCATTGATCTGTCTAATATTGACAATGGGGTATTAAAGTCTCCACTATTATTGTGTGGGAGTCTAAGTCTCATTGTAAGTCCTTAAGAACTTGCCTTATATACCTGGGTGTTCCTGTATTGGGTGCATATATATTTAGGATCGTTAGCTCTTCTTGTTGCATTAATCCTTTTACCATTATGTAATGTCCTTCTTTGTCTCTTTTGATCTTTGTTGGTTTAAAGCCTATTTTATCAGAGATGAGAATTGCAACTCCTGCTTTTTTCTGCTCTCCATTTGCTTGGTAAATCTTCCTCCATCTCTTTATTTTGAGCCTTTGTGTATCCTTGCATGTGAGATGGGTTTCCTGCATACAGCACACCGATGGGTTTTGGCTTTTTATCCAATTTGCCAGTCTGTGTCTTTTGATTGGGGCGTTTAGCCCATTTACATTTAGGGTTAATATTGTTATATGTGAATTTGATCCTGCTATTTTGATGCTAACTGGCTGTTTTACCCGTTAGTTGATGCAGTTTCTTCATTGTGTTGATGCTCTTTGCCATTTGATATTGACGGAACGTATCTCAAAATAATAAAAGCTATTTATGACAAATCAATAGCCAATGTCATACTGAATGGGCAAAAACTGGAAGCATTCCCTCTGAAATCTGGCACTAGACAAGGATGCCCTCTCTCACCACTCCTATTCAATATAGTACTGGAAGTTCTAGCCAGAGCAATCAGGCAAGAAAAAAAAATAAAGGGTATTCAAATAGGAAAGGAGGAAGTCAAATTGTCTCTATTTGCAGGCGACATGATTGTGTATCTAGAAGACCCCATCGTCTCAGCCCAAAATCTCCTTAAGCTGATAAGCAA